TTTTATTGCTATTGGTGCAGCTGTGTTTATTGAATATTTGTTGGAAAATTTTATTATTATAGATGCAGCTGTGTTTGTTGGGTATTTCGTTAGAAAAATTTATATTACCTTGAGGAGACCGGCATATTTTTATCATCGATCTTTTACGTTGGTCTGTTTACTGAGCGGTTCGTTTGTCTCACCAATCGACGATCGTTGCCGACACTTCGCGGAAGGAAGGAATCGTGGAATCGCCAGGACGTAACAAGAGGAAAAGAAAAATTATTCAATTAAACTTACTTTTTTTAAATAGTAATTCAGAGGTGGAGGGGTGGCGAATTTGTACGGTGTTTCGCTTTGCGTCTCATGTTGGCAGTCCTATGTTCGATTCGTGGTTGCTCTGGAGATGATGCCAAGTGAGGACACTTGTGGCGCAAGTGCCTAACTCGCGAATTACGGTGCAAAAGCACAGAGTAAGACTGCGTGAAGTTGAAGACCGGAGAATAAGAGCGTGATGTGTTTGAGAGTTCTCTTTTTATAATCTTCTTTTTGGGGCGTATTTTAATTCTAAGAGTGGGAATCTTTCAAAACTTCGACAAATTGAATTTGCGCAGAAGTGGGGATTCTTCAATCTTAGCAAATTAAAAATATGCCAGTGTCTTCGTTAGGCGGGATGTTTCTCCTACTTTTCACGTTTTACCCGTGGTGATCGTCCATTGGTGAGTTCGATATTCGTTCGAAGATTCCTTGCACGTGTTCAGATTAGAAAAAGGTCCTATTTTCCTATGATAATTTTTATTGCTATTGGTGCAACTGTGTTTATTGAATATTTGTTGGAAAATTTTTATTATTATAGATGCAGCTGTGTTTGAGTATTTCGTTAGAAAATTTTATATTATCTTGTCGATGCCTCTTTATTTTTTCCGTTGGCAAATTCTACTAAGGGATATCTATTGATTTTTATTTGTGGCGGCCTACAGCAACCACAAAATTACGGCAGCGCGATATTTGCGAAATATTATCGTTTTTCGCAAGCGCTCGCCCGGCCGCGCGTAGTTGCGGGCAGCACCGCTAGGCGGCGCAAGGCGCCCGGGCCAACCTGCAAGTAGAAAGCCGTCCGGCCGGAATATAGGTCAGACCCCCTGCAGAGAAAACACAACAAGAAAGTTCTTGGCGCCAGTCGCCTACTTTTAGACGACAAGTCACGAAGAGAGTTCTAGGCGCCAGTCGCCTGCTCTCTATCGCAAAGTCGCTTTAAAACGTTGGACCACGACACGGCGCCAGTCGCCGAGAAACCCTGCAAGACGCCGCGGATAGAGAGCATCATCTCGCTACCTACGGTGGCCGAGATCGCCCTCCGGCGCAAGACTCGCCCAACGCCACTACACTTCACCTCGGCCAAACGGAGAAGAGTCGGCGTTCATCCGCCTCCAACATCAGGCGCTCGGTCGCCTCCATCTACGGGCGCTCGGTCGCCTCCAGGCTCGAAAGCTCGATCGCCTCCAGCTACAGGCGCTCGGCCGCCTCCAACAACCGGCGCTCAGTCGCCTCCAGCCACCGGCGCTCGGTCGCCGATTAACTTGGGCACGGTGGATCTGACCCTCGGCGCCAGTCCACCATCCGCCAGGGACAAACCACCGGCTCCAGGAGCCCTGCTACCCAGGAAGAAAAGGAGCAAGGACCGGCTTCAGGCTTTATTCGGCGCTAGCCCGCCAAAACCAATTACCGGGCATTCCGGCTCGAAAGCCAAGAGGGACCGACCAATCACGCCGGACATCAAACGACCGCGGAGTATCACGCCTCCGATTCCGTGGTATCCTCCGCCGCTTGTCTCGCCTCTACGACGAACGCCCATTAAACGGGATAGTACCACGCAGACGAGCCCCCGCAAAACCGGCATCGACGCAGCGACGCAAACCAAGCGACGAAGTGGAAGAGCACGTAAAGTGCTAGTAAACAACAACTACCAAACGCTCAATCGCAATTGTAATAAAGAAAATCGTTAGCGCAAATGTAAGACAGGAATGGAGAGAACAGAATAAATTATATTCCTAATGACAAAAACATTCATTTCTCTACCTTCAAATAAGATAAGTTGGGTAGTATCCTAAAGCGATAGATCTCCTATCCCGTACCTACCCACATATTTATTTCGAGAAAACCGACATGGTTTCCTCACCGATCCCTTACGTTGGTCTGTTTACTGAGCGATTCGTTTGTTTCACCAATCGACGATCATTGCCGACACTTCGCGGAAGGAATCGTGGAGTCGCCTGGACGTAACATATACATGAATGCGCGTTCGCGCGTATAATTACCAGCTTATCGTTATCGAAAACATGGCCAGCCAAAATCTCCAAATATTCCTTCGATTTATTCATAATCATTTTTTTAAATAATGTATTTATCACAAATATGTTATAATTGATAATGCACAGATTCAGTCCACTGTAAGCATTCGCTCATCGTTTTATTAATGTCGTAACGCGACCGATTTCTTAATATTAGAAGATAAAACAAGTAAAGTAGAACAGAAAAGATTGAGAAAGAGCTGGTAACCTAACTTTGCTCGATATGACATCGATTAAAGGAAATCACTTCTCTTCCTTACACTATTCCGCGTTAATAATTTCTTTTCACTTTATCACTTCTCTTCGTTGTTGCCTTATTCCGCAATACTCTTATCACTTTTCATTTTTTCATTCCATTATTCCGCGATATATACTATATAATCTTAACATTTTTTATCTTGTCCGCGCGATATATATTCTTATAACCTTACATTATTATCGGATAAAGTTCCAAAAAGGTCCCGGCTCCGATTTTTTTGAAACTCAGTATTCTTACGTATATTGATGCGCTGATTACGAATATCATAGTGAAAATTGGCGACTATTTGATTTTCATGGTGAAAACCATGAAAAACCTGTAAAAATTATAGTTTTTTACGCTTATCTCAGTAAATACGGTAAATCATGATAAATGTTTTAGACAAAAGTTTTAGATCTCACAGAGATCAAATTTAATCAGAATTCCATGCCAAAACCATAGCCATCTGTGACCACATTAAGCTCAGGTTTTGTCGACAAAGCCTGCTGACAGGCAATGTGAGCAAATTGGCTGCAGAAATCACGCAGAGCCTGCGCGCAATCTGACGGCAGATTGACAGCAGAAATCGAGCAGTTTCTACACATTTATATAAAATGGAAAGTGCCATTAGTTTTTTTTATTATGGCTTTAGTTATTAAAATATCCTAATCAAAAGTTTATTAGACCTAAAATTCCGGATAAGCTACTTGGTAGCGCCGCGGCCCCTGTACATAGGCAAACCGTTGACAAGCCAGAAAGAAATTTTTTCATATACTTGGCAACGCTACCGTGTCGCTTGATTAGACTAACGTAATCTTATTATTTCAGTATCTCCTTTTGTGGTTCTAAAAGGAAAAAAATTAATAAAATCCGATGGACTGACGATGAACGCACAGCAGCTTTATCTTCGTTTTCTGTTAATATAAAAAGTAACAAGTTACCATCTTTTCGTCAAATTAACGAAGTAAAAGTTAAGTATCCAGTATTAAAAAATCGTACAAACGCTCAAATAAAATCTTGGATCAATAATCAGATGAAAGCAAAGAATTAACGTAGTTAAAAGCAAAAGTAGTTAAAAGCAAAACATGAAAAATATTAAATATATTTTTAATATTAATTATAATTAGATAAATGATTACGTTTTAGCACTTTTAAAAGACAATATAAAATTGTATTCAATTCGAATAACTCAAATTTTAATAAGTTTTAATAATAAAGATAATTTAATATTAATAATTTAACATTTTTCATGTTTTGTTTTTTAAAATAATTAATATTTCTTATCTGATTAGATATAAGTCCAAAATATATGTCAGGAAAACCTGCAAATAGTTGAAAGATAAGATTAATGTTAAGGCATAGCAATACATGTAAAATTGAATTTACCTGATTATATGTATAATAACGAAGATATGGACGTATTGTCTAAAACTAGAAATTAAGATATGAGAAATTATCTGAAAATATTGGATGTTTCTTAATTAAGTTTTGTTTATTTGAAAAAAAAATTTATTATATCATTCATCAACAAATTTTGTTTTTAAATTTTTATATTAACAATAAGTTATATTAAATTTTTGTTATAATATCTTTGATCAGATATAAACACCGAAACACGATAAAAAATCAGCAGAAGAAAAAGATTCGATTATTATAAAGGTATGTGTTCGGGAGTCGACCTCGACGAGATCGCCCGAATCTTTTGAAACGCTCAGAGATGAGCGAGAAGCTGTGTGTAACGCGAATCCGTAGATCCGCTGGAGGACAAGGAGATTTTAGAAAAGACTCGAGTGCAGATTGTTTTAACTATTCCTTTTTATTTTGGACAATAGGAGTGAGCGACGGCACGTATTCCGCGTTTCCAACGGAAATCTTCAAATTGTCCTGTTAATTACTGTCCTCTTTCGCGGTTCGGAAATCTTGATGAAGAGCTTCTTGCTAGAAACTCTCGCGAGAACGGAAATCTTGCACGCGGACGCCGGATGGAATTTAGCGCAAGGCAGAGAACATTCGCGATGCGGATAACGAGCGTCGACTCTCGGACTCCAAACAATTTGCGTTCACAATGTCTTAGCACTAAAGGAGTAAATAATACAGTGTTAGATTTTCCCGAATTGATCGCCGCGAGAAGATGAACGCGATCGGATGCGAGACAATTCGGAGCGATGTTGAGACGAGTAAGCCTACTGAGTACGCGACACGAGCGAGGATCAGCGAAATGCGAATGAGAAAAATCGATGAGTTTCGATCGTGCTCGAATCGTTGTCGTAGGCAGACTAAATCGACCGACCGCGGAAACTCGCGCTCTGCCGATGTGAATAACAAGATTTTTCGGCATCGAACGTTCTAGAACCAGGTGTTTGTCACGGTTTTTCATTATAAGAATAACGCGATCACGCACCGAGCGGGTGACCGCGACGCTGTTTGTTCTCGCTCGTGTTTTGATTTTTGAGGCAATTGTTTGAATATAACAGCGACGTTCGCCGTTGAAATTTAGACACGAAATTTTATGTTTCAATTGTGAACAGCATGTTAATATTGTAACATTACAATATTATAAACATCTTATATGTTATCTGCTCTCTATATACGATATATTCCGAAATTTACAACTCAAAATAAATAGCAGAAAAGTTCTCGACAAATTAAAAAATAATAGTAATTGTGATTTTTTTATTCCAAGCAATTATTTTGGGGATATAATGATTTAAAGTTAGTTAATTACAGGCTACGCTTAGACAGTTGCCCATTTGTGAATCACACAATAGTATTAGTAAAGTGCAATAGTATTAGTAAGTGCAATAGTACTAGTATCGCATATGCATATGCAACTCATATGCAACTCATGAACAAAAAACTGTTCATGAGTTGGTAATATCTAAGCAAATACTTTTATTTCTTAATTTGTCGAGAACTTTTTATTATAGTATTTTGAGAACTATTATAGCATTTTAAGTCGCAAATTTTGGGACATCCTATATATTGTTGCGTCCGCGCGTCGACTTTGACAATACTCGAACACGCGCGACACAAACGGCACTCGCGTACCGCGACGTAAATGATTGACACTCTTTTAAAAGAACAGAAGGAACTTTAATAATAACACAGAACACACAATTAAACAAGGAACACAAAACGGGTAATAACGGTAATCGCATCTCAAATATGTCCGCCCGGAATGACATCCGTCGCGAGACTCAAGATGGCCGATCTCCCTCTCAAGATGTCCGCCGTTATTTTACAACAACCCTTAGCAACGTGTTTGGAGATGATCTCTTAGAGACGGGAGCAACTTCAGGATTAACTACCACAGACGACTCGCAGGGACGCAACAATATGTTGATAGATATAAGACATTTTCCTGATAACAAAGGTTTATATATATATCGTTACAGTTTAATTTAATTTTAATAATGGACTTTTGTGGCTTATAAAAAACTTATTAAATATTGTCTATAAGAAATTTTATACAAGTCTTATATAATAAAAAAATATTTAAATTTTTCTTCATGTCTTTTCATTGCGTCTAAGAATCTTTTTTCCATTCAGAGAATGAAACATTTGATAGTAATCAAATATTAAATTTAGTTGGCTCCATTAAATCAAGAGTATTCAAGATTTGATCATATAGGTTCAAGAATTTAGAACATGTTAATAAATCGAATACGTATTGTATTTGTATACGTATATTATTCAAGATTTGGTCACAGATTCAAGAATGTAGAACGTGTTAATAAATTAAATACGTATTTGTAATCGAAAACATATTTGTACATTATACATGGTGTGCCATTTTAAATGCCCCAGGCAAATATCTCGAAAAATATGGAAGATACGGAAAAGGGCCAAAATAATTCGATGGTATAAATTGAAGAATTATTAATATACTTTATTTCCTATAATACATATATTACATAGATTTTAATAAGTTTCAAAAGCACATTGTAATTGTAAGTGTATATATGTATATGTTTTTTATGAAAATATCCTGATATACAGGGTGTCCCACCAAAAGTGGCCACCTCCTTTTATCTTTTAAATTAAAAGAGATAGACCATAAGAAATATATATCAAATTAAATAGTTTTAATTTTTTTATAATAATGTGAATATTTCGATATGATAAAAGTTATAGCACTGTTTGAAACGAATACAATGATATATGATATAATGTAAATATTTTACATATTATACGAGTTGTATCGACTTGAAATATCGCGGGCGACGTCTACCTTTTCACTTTCTGCCTTGCCAACTTCTGACTCGTGCATTAGAGATTGACATAAGTGGCCGGACGTTTAAGCGTAGGTCGTCACAAATAATACAAATTATAATATTAGAAAGATTTTTAATATAAATATTTGCATTCAATCGAAAGCTTAAGATTCCCTTAAGCAGGGAAAAATTATTTGAACCCA